CGGGGGACCAGGTGAGGGAGGGGGAAGTTCTAGCCAAAACCATTTGCTAGATTCAGTATAGATGCATAAATACTTTCAGTTAACAAAACTATATTTTATCAGAGAATGAACAATTCACCCACAAAACCTTTCTTCCCATATATTCTGTTTAGGATACCTGTTTGTGAGTGAATGTGCCTAGCTTTTGCCTTACTTTACCCTTACTTTACTTGTTCACTGAGGTACTGTAAAGACAGTATCCGGTAATAACTGTAACAAGTATTTAACTGCTCTGGTACTGGGGGGCCATAAGTAATTAGGTAGGTAATTAAATAGGCAGATAGACCTAAGCAGTCTTAAAAAGAGTCTTAACAAGAGGAAACTTGATTTGTAATGAATGCACCTGTCACTGATGCATAAAGGCCCAATCCTGTAAAATGGTGAACACTCCAGGGAGGCCCCAGTGCCATGAAGTTGATGGAAGAAAAGATACTTAAGGGCCTGAAGGATGGGCAACATTAAAAATTGCCTGCATTTAAGGAGGCTTCCTGCTTGCATGTGATTTCACCTCTGCCTGTCTGCCATTGGTGGAAAAGAATTAGTGAATATGAAGAATGTGTCTAGGAAACAAACATGCTGGCCTTATCGCAACCATACTTGTAATTAGATTTCAATGTGCTGGCAAATTATTTTTTTTTAAAAAGGAGGAGGAATGTTTTTTCGCTTGCGGAAAAGAAGAAGAATTAATAAATATTTTGCAGAAGGTAAATGTAAAGACCCTGACGCAAATCCTGAACAAATTACAGGGAAGCAGAAACAGCTGTTGGGAAAATACCACTGCTGTAAGCATGCTGCCGTGAGCAAGACTGCCAGCATTCTTCGGTTTCCAGATTCACTATTTCTAAACACCTTGGCACAAATATAGGTGGAATGTGTAGAAAAAAAAATACATTTGTTCAAGAAAAACAAGGGGAGATCCAAGTTCTTTTATGAAAGAACCCAAAGAGGACTCTCAAGTTTCCAAATTAGCTCATTCTGTGCTTTCTCGCAGAAATGTATTGATGCAGTTGGCTAAAACAAAGTGTACAGCAGAATGAACAGGACACCAGAGGCCTCATCTAGAAATTCAGGTTGCTAAGCTAAGCCCACAAACATATGAATGCCAGTGTCATCAGAAAAATTCATGCATGCTCTTCTGGATTAAATAACTCCACTCATTTCTAATGGAGCATTTATTATTATGATAGTTGTTGGTTTTGGGGGTTTTTTGGTCTTTGTTTTTGAGGAAAACCATATTTTAAATTAATTGTATACATTATGTGTCAGAAGCTCATTCCAGAAATGAAGGCAGCTCATGGTTGGTTTCTTATACTGATAGATGGCTATGATTAAATGTTTGTAGCAAGTTGCCATTACTGCTCCTGATTAGCTAAGAAATACATCACTGTATTTTTCCTTTTCACAGTGTCTTCTCCATACACACCCCAGCCCAGTTGTTTCTCATCCATTGATTTTTTCCCTTGTCTTTTAGGCCCAAATCCTATTCCAGCTATTGGAGTTTTAAGACCTAGGAGCCACTTGCTGAAAAATACACACCTCCTCATGGGACTACAATCCTGTTTCTGCCTTGGGAACATCCAGAGCCCTCCAATGGGCAAGCTTATATGCTTACGTTCAGCCAAGAGTGAAAGACTTATGGCATCAAAAGGAGAGCAAGAAAGGACTTTGAAGCTATGGCTTAATGGTCCTAGGACCAGGGTGGAGATGTTAGTGGGGCGAGCAACAAATGGCACCTGGTGGGTGGGGGGCAGGGAGCGAGAGGGTACAGAAATAGTTGGGGGAGGCAGCAAGGGGGGGTTCATATTTGGTGGGGGCAGGTGACAAGGGCCCAAGTGATTAAGTACCTGGTTGGGGGGGCACCCAGCAGGGTGTCAGGGAAAGCAGTGGATTTCAGGGACTGATCGCCACTGACTGGCCAGAATGTAAAAATGTAGGAACCTATAATAAATTCTATGGGGCAAGCAGCAGCAGGGCAACCCCTATGACAGGTCACATCAAAAAAAAAGGAAAATAGCAGTACAGATGTGAAGATACTGAAAGGAATGAGGTGCTGCTGTGATCTGAACTTTAAAATGAAGGCTATAAATTATGCTGAAAAAACAAATAACTGTAGGGTAGGCAAGAAGTTGCTGAAGTAAATTTGAATCAGTGGAGACAATTAATAGGAAAATTCAAGATTGTGACACTCAAATTGTTCAGTGGGCCAAAAAGGGTGGCTTTTCTGAAATTGATAAATGTTCTTACCATATTCTTAAATATGTTCAAGAAAAGAGAAATAATTACCCACAAAGTACTTAGACTTAAGACATTAGAAAATGTGATGGAATTAAACATTCGGCAGCAAAAATTCAAGGCAAGCAATGGGTGGCGCAACATGGTGGCTTAGTCCTGAGATGAAGAATATCACTTGCACAAAAGTTACAAGAAGCTTGCAATGAAAAATGTGTTGAATTTCAGTTATATCTTATTGGTCTATGCAAGACTCATGATTATCCATTGGGCCATATAGGTAATGTTGATGAGACTCCACTGTATTTCAACATGCTGAGCAATGTTAATGTCAATGAGAGAGGTGCAAACTCCATAATTCTGAGAAATACAGGAAACGAAAATTTGCAAATTACAGCAATGTTAGCAGTATTGGCAGATGGTAGAAAATTGCCACCCTATGTGATTTTGAAATGGAAAACTGCCACAAAAAAAAAAAGTTGCCACCAGGAATAGTGGTTAGGTGCCAGGACCAAGGATGGATGTCAAGTGAACTGATGAATGACCGGCTAGATGTTGGGTGAAACAAGAGACCTGAGGCACTGCTAAAGAAAAAAAAGGATTGTTACCATTAAATTCATTCAAAAGGCGTTTAACACCAGCCATAAAAGCAAAAAACCAGTTAATGAATTGTAATCTTGTAGTCATACCTGCTGGTATGACATCTAAATTCCAAGTACTGGATGTTGTAGTGAATAAGTCCTTTAAGCACCATTTATGGTGTCAGTATTGAGACTGGCTCTTGGCAGGGAAACATGAGCCTGCACCTGGTGGGAAGATTTAGAAGCCAGCCATAGCACCACTTTGCCAAAAGATTCTGACTTCTTAGAGAAGGGATATCTTCAGAGTGCACTGGTAAATGCTTCAAGTAATGTGGTATATCCAATGCCATGGATGGAACTGAAGATGTTTTGTGGTATGCAGAAAAAGATGAGAGCAGTGAAGAGAGTGAAGAGAGCAATGAGGACACTGAGAGTAAGGGTGCATGTGAAAGTGGCCAGTCTTAAGTTGTAGGATCTAAGAAAGGTGTAAGACTTTTCAGGATTTTCTGGACAGACCAGTATAGATCTTTGTTGAATTTATGGCTTAGTTTTTGTCAGAAAGCTGTTTATAAAAATAATAGCAAGTATTAATAATAGTAAGTATTTCCATAGGTGGAATCTAATTATTGGGGTATCATCTTAAATTCAAGGTTTTCTTGGATTCAGGCAAATATGATACCTTGTTTTCACTGTAAGCTGCCCCGAGACTTTTCTGGAGGAGGATAGCATATAAATCAAGTAAATATACACATACGTCAGTCACTAAATGGTAATACTTCAGTCACTATTTCTTACCAGTTACAAAAATGTTGACTTAGGCAAACACTTTTGAATACGGCTTTTAATTTTGGGGGCCCACTTTGAAGCACCATGACCCAAATTTTCGGAGGTGTTAAATACTGACACCAGTTTCAACTGGGTTACAAAGGAGTGGTAACTGCTTAGCACCTCTCAAAATCTCAAGTGAAGCACCCCAAACCCAGGCAAATTACAATTTGAAGCCATTCTTGAAATGTTGGGCCCCATATGCCACAGCATTACTTTACTATAACTGATTTGCTCCTTCCATGTACTTTAGTAAACTAAACTAGACCAAATGAAGTTCTGAAACAAAGAAGGAAAAATAGTTCTAGTTGCTGGCTTTTTAAGAGCTGTTGAAATAATACCATCTAAGCAGCACCAGGGACCGTCAAGAAGCAAAAGTGTTATTAATTGCTATTACATATATGTGCTAATGCTGGTAATCTTAAGTAACTGTTTGTGAGAATGTTTCAGCCTGGTTGAATCCAGAAGTACTGTGTAGATGCAGTAACTGTCAAGGATATGAGCTGTGCAGCAACAAAAGCCACCTGCATAGCTCATGAAGGTCTGGAACCAAAGTACCGGAAAGACGAGGTTACATGCCAAAAAACAAAAATCAATTTTGTATGTTCTACATATGAACTGAGGCATGAGGCCTGTAAAGATGAAAAGCTGCTGCTAATTTTAGGAGGATGAATCTATGACTAATGGGCCGTGTCAGTTATAGGTTCTTTGGATATGTCACACTGCCTGTTTGGAACAGGAGAAGAAATGTTTGATTCCCAGATGGACACACTGAAATGCCCATGAGCAACCAAGTTACTATAAAATGATGCTGTAGCAATGGTGATGAAAATAAAATTCTATGTTCCCAAGGCCGAGGCAGTAATCAGCAGATCATCATGTTGCCAAAGATGACTTCATTTGCACATTGGCAAATCTGAGCAGCAAATCTGAAATCCAGGTACTATTGGCTTCAGTCACAATTCCAACAACTGACATCTCTTGCTACTTTTCAACAGCCCCTAGCGGCTAGTCGGCACTAAAGGACTTTGCCATATTTGTGGGACCAGAGCCACTGAAAATAGTCAGGCATGTGCCTACAAGATGGCTCAGTCTGCATAGGGTTATAAAACACACAGTGGACATGTGAATTGCTTTGCTGTCTTATTTTCAGAGTTGTGAGCAGTGGGCTGCCAAAATATAACTTGTTTGGTGATTTCTTCAGAGCCATGAACTCAAAACTGTTTTTTTTATTCTTAATTTATGTCACAGAGTCTCAGCAGCAATTTAATTTGAAGCTTCAGAACAGGGGAAAGCCAGCTACTGATGTCTGCAGACTGGTTTAATGTGCTGGCAGAGTACTGGAGTCAGAAGCTGCAATTCGAACTGCTTCAAAGAAGTGAGCTGTCAACTCTAAGACAGTTCGATCATTTTCTTGCAGCAGGTATCAGGCTAACTAGACTAGAAGTTCAGAAATGTATGAAACAACATTCAGATACTGTATCTGGGGCTTTGAGACTCATACAGAGACAACAGCTTATTAAATAATTGCTACTTTAGTGCTTGGAAATGTAGCAATGCAATATTCACCTCCAGAGGAATAATTTGTTTCTGTCTGGACTTACCTTCAGAATGAAGGAGAAACAGATCCAATGATATACAAGCCAGTCTGAACTGCTCCCAAAACTTAAATGAAAACTTTAGTTTGAAAGAGTTTCATTACTCTTCTATTATTTGACTAAAACAAAGGAAGAACACACTTCCTCTCTTCATGCATCCCCAGTTCTGGTTAAATTTGGATCCAGTTGTACTGTTACACTGTGGGGAAATTAGCTGGACTGGTTCATTATTTTGAAGTATGAACATCACAAGAAAGTATATATATAATTATTTAATAATATATAAATATATATATAAACTTGTCTTTGGAGTTTGGAGTTTATATATAACCCCAAAGAAAAGGAGTTGTCACAATATTTGCAGCCCAGTTTTGTAGAAGCAAGGGTATAGAATAGTGTGTAAGCATTCAAAATCTGGGCATTTTATGCAAACAATGTCCAGACTTTCATGAGTCCTCCAGGAGGAACTATTTTTATGTATTAATATATGAATCTAGGAAAAACAAACTTGTTTCCAGACCCACATACATTAATAAACCAATTGACAAGGAAGCATCTTGCTATCATGCTCTTCCCTTGCCCCCTGCTAAGAGGCAACAGACTTTTAGACCTCCAAAGTCATTTTTCACAGGAAAAGAAAATAGTGATGAAGGTCAGGTTACCTGCTTATTTATACCATATAAATCAATTCTTGAACATAAGTGGTTACTAACCTCACTCGGGCAATGGCAGCTTACAGAAATGCTTGTTCAAATACCAAATACCAACATGAGCTCCTTGGGGGAATGACCCCCCCTTCCCCCCACCCCGCCGAACAGAGGGACTAATAGATTAAGACAGAGCAAACTTTCTAGCTATTTGCAACCTCTTCCCCCCAAAAAAGAAATAATGTCACAAAACTAACAAAATACAGCATTCCATCAAAGACTATATATTACTCCCACATTAAGGGAGGAAAACCATATTGGAATGTGCATAATAGCACCACCTGGTGATTCCTGCCATAGCAATGTCAAGAGTGCTCTGGAAAGAAATACTTCAATAAGAACAGAATATTAAGCGAGTACTCCACTGGAATAAATAAGACAATGGAGCTATGAAGTTTATACTAGGATCTGACCCCAATTATTGGATGTGCACTAGTGTTTCACATAACTGTTGATAGTCTTCTGGGTGGAGCTATAAGAAATTTAGAAGGCTTGTTCTCTGGAATCTTATCTATTTTTTCAGTTTTCTGGTTTGTTTCCAACTTCCCACTCAGGTCACCCTTTTTTTTTTCAAACATTTCAACAGAATGGCTATTTCATATTTAAAACATACAAAACCGGCAGGAATCCCCTTGTGTTATCACCTTCCCAAAATTAGCCCATTTGCACTTTAAAATGCCTGTCCTGTTGCAGAACTTTATCATAAAGGGCCCATTTAGAAGTTTCTTAAATAACACAAACCCTTTCTTTAATATTTAAATATGCAGTAAAGCCCAAACCTTGCTTCAGCTCCACAAGATCTCTAACAGCATTTCAACAGACATGGTAAATCCCTTCTCAGCATGCTTAGAACAAATTTAGTCATGCAGGTGAATACAGGAACTAAACTCTACTGAAGAAGTTGAAATGATTGATACGTGGTGGGTGGATCCAGGGGCGGTACATTTGCACCCTGTTTGATTCTTGCTGCAAACAAACTTTAAAATCAACTATCATTGGCATTCCCTCAGTTCAAAGATAATCTGTACCACAGCTCAGTGATGGGTCGTGAATTGACTAAGAGTCCAGCCCCTGAGCTATGGTATGTCTGCAGAAGTTACTGGTCTTTCCACAGGGGAGAGTCTGCTGTTGGTTGGGATTTCTCTCCTCCTTTCTCCACTCTCTCTTCTCTGCTTTAAGGGCAAACTACTTTACCTTGAAGCAGGCTGCCGTTTGGTTGAGGTCGTGGCACCATTGGAGTTGATTAGAGGTATTGGAGTATGCATTCAATGTGGCCTTGTAGCATTTTGTCTGGCCATCACAAGATCTCAGGCTGCAGTTAAGCTTGGAGTAGAGCACTTGTTTTAGTAGCAGAAAGTCAGGAATCTGCAGGTAGTCCCTGGTCCAGTGAAGCTGGAGCCTGAGGATCACCAACTCATCTGTATATGGCTTTCAGTAACCTTACTAAGACCTTTGACTCCACCAATCACAAAGGATTGTAGAAAATACTAGCCATATTTGGATACCCTGAAAAATACATTGAGGTCCAGAAACCTTGGTGACTGTTATTATCATGACCAGATGACTATTACTATTCTTTTTAGCAGATCAGAGACAGATCCATTTGCCATCCAAACTGGGATTAAGCAAGGATGCACCTTCGCTGCAATTCTAGTCTCCATTTTTTGACTGTCATCCTGGTTCTTGTTAAGGTCTGCGTCCTTTCTGGAATTGACACTGAATACTGAACAGGTGGTGGACTTTTCAGTCTGGGACAATTTTGCTCAAAGATCAAAATATTAAAAACAACCATCCTTGACCTTCAATGCACTGATGACTGTGCCATCATTATGTGCAGTGAAGAAGATCTCCAGACCATGCTGGATCTCTTTGCAGAAGCCTACCTAACTTTGGGCCTTTCTGTCAACACTGAGAAGACTGGAGTGGTCTATCAGCTTGCCTCAAATTTCCACCAGGAGAAATACACTGGAGGTAGTCAAGCACTTCCTTACCTTGGTAGCCACCTCTCTCTAAAACTAAATACCTGGACACAGCAACACTGTTACTATTAAGGCAGCACTGAGGGAGTCAACTGACTTCATAGATCATTATGATCTACCTGATTCTTGCTTATCTTTCATTTCATACGTGTTAAGGATCCTTTCACCTTTTTAATGGTCTTGATGTTCCATTAATCAAGCTATTCTTTCTTCTGCAGTTTGTCTTCCTGTTAGCCATTCCTGGTAATATCTGTCTTCTGTTTCATGACCCTGCAGATTGTTTTTTCTCTAGCTCAAAACCTTAACTTAGATGTTGTAATATTAACACAGGTGCAGAATGCACTGTCAAGATACTTGAGAAGGCTAGATTTTCTGTTACAAATCAGAATTAGAGATGCACATATAATTATAATGACTACAGGACTAATAAAACATTTTGGCTGCTGACAGACATGGAAAAAAATGGCGCTTTTTACTTCCAGCTTGGCACATCCCCACACCTAGCACAGAGCGTGCCTAGAAAAGGAGCCACATTAGTTTGACCCAGCCCACCAAATGTGATTGCACATTTTAGTGGGGCTTTGTGGTGCTTTCATCTAATAGCTATTAGATAAAAATGCAAAAAAGCCTCACTGAAGCATGTGATCTATGCAGACATTGGGTGAGCCAGATCAAACTCATGCGACTCCTCTTCCAGTAAAGCACCATTCCCTCCCCTACCCCACAACTGTCAGCAGCCTTTTCATCTATTTTTTGTCAGTGTGTTGTACTTTTTAAACTTTATATAATATAGCAAATTAGTGAGCATTCCTATAAAGTTATATTTGTATGACCCCACTGTTACTGTACTCGTGTGACAACTTCTCTGTGGTACGTATTTGCGTTTGACCATTAGGATACAAAGTCAGATTTGGGGGCATGTGTAGATGAATCAGGGGTCCTAAGTTGAAGTGGTGAGTTTTTATAAACACCACTTCAATTTAAGGTGAAGTAAACGCCTATGTCGTGTACACCTGTGTCTTTTACCTGCCTTTCTGGTGATGGGAGGAGAGGGTGAGCTGCTGGCGGGCAGAGTGGTCCCTGGGCTGCAGGGAGGGGGACTGGTGCTTCCCTCCACAGCAGCGGTGGCCCCCGCCCCAGGTGGCATCCGCCCACAGGCACCCAGCTCGGGTGGTCCCTGGGGGCACCGCAGCCATGGAGGGAAGAACCAGGTCCCCGCACACCTCATGCAGGCAGGCAGGCTCCAGGGGAAAAAAAAAAGGTTGGGGTCACTGCTTTTTTTTTTCTTCTGTGGAGCCTGCCTTTCTGTGGTGCTGCCAGGCTGCCTGTACAGGCTGCCTGCACAGTCCCTGAGCCACATGAAGCCTGGTGCTTTGCTTTGCGGCTGTAGGGCAGCAAACTAAAACTCTTTGGAGGTGTTTTATTTTGCTGTGCCCCAAAGTCATTTAAAGCTCATTACACCGCCGAATGTACTCCAGAGGCTGAAATTAATGCATAATATGTCACTGACATGTGTAAACACCAACACCATTAAAGCAGTGCAAAACCATTTAACCCGCTTTAAAGTGTTGTGCACACATGCCCCCCATTTTGTCTACACCCATAGAAAATTGTGTCCCTTAACTGCATGTCCCTTGTCTGGGTACTTACGTAAGTGTTGCTGAAAGGTTTGTGTTCACCATGATTTGTATGGAAGTCTAAGGTGAAGGCATTTTCAGCTCAGGAATCCCAACAGGAAAAGAGGTTTCAGACTGAAGATACCCATCCATCCATTCATCCAAGGATAAGCACTTGGGATGTACAAATCCTTTTAGTGGGTTCTGCCTGGGCCTATTACCCACTGGGTTCCTTAAAGCTGAAATCCTTAGGGTGATAACAAGTCAGGAAGAGTCACAGGACCTACTAGATCTGGGAAGAACAATGATTTAAAAGAGCTGGGTTGCTTCTACACCAAAAGAGAAGCAGTGCCTCAGCAGTGAAGTAGCAGTGCTCCCCAGCAACTGGCAAGGAGCAGCACTCCAGCTGTGAGGTGCAATGATGGAGCAGTGCCCCAGCAGTGGTAAGGCAAGGGAAACTTTGGGCTATCAATGACAT